AATTTGCTGAGGCTTCATATGAATAAAGTGAGAATGGCTTGGCCATTTCTGAGCATATTCAGAAACCTGTTTTGCACTGGAGATGTTCAAACAGGTTTCCAGCCTGATGAGTCACTTCTTTCATAGGATCAGTCCTGATAGCACTTTGCCTTCCTGATAGTGCTACAGGTCATGGAGCAGCTGGTAGCTCAACAAGCAGAGACTTGATTTCTGGGTATACATGGGTGGCTTGCAGAATATGGTAAAGGCCCCAACACTATGCATTTTTAAAAGGACTTTTAAACTGAGGTGTATTCAGTCCTGGTTGGCTGCATGCGAGACCTTCCAAAGGCTGAATCCACAATTACCAACTGTGACCTCCCTCATTTCCAAAGTCCTTGATCACAAACAAGGAAGCTTCAATTTGATCTACAAAATCTGGCTACTTAAGCACAAACATGCAGGGAATAAGAGCAGAGGGAGTTACAAAGTGAGTAACATGAAGCTTTAGCACTTGGGGATTTTGCAATCTAGAAGAAAGAACTGTCAATGAGACTAACAATGTTTTAACATATGCAATATGCCAGGCACTGTTAGGCACTCAGAACACACATAAAGGCCATTCAAGGTCTGAATAGCAGAGTTCAGGGAAGTTTCAGAGGTTTCTTGTGGAAGTGACACTGGAGTTGGCATTTTAAGAAAAGATATTATATTATTTAACACACTGAATTGGTAAAAGCAATAGACAGGATGATGTTTAACCAAAGTCCAAGAGACAAGAAAGTAGGAGGTGTGCTCCAGGAATGGGGTCTACCCTACTTAATTCTGCATGTCCTGCTTCCTGAAATACAACACTGTTTGCAGGAACCTGCTACTCAGTCTTCCCGCCTCTTTTGTCTTCCTGACCCATGCTACAAATTACAGTCAAATCCATCTTCCTAAATCCAGTGTTTTGCTAAATCATAACTCTCTCAAGAAGGAAGGATCATAGAACCAGGCATAGTGGTGCATGCCTGTAATCCCAGCACATGGGAGGCTGAGGCAAGAGGATCACTGTGAATTCAAGACCAACATGGGCTACATAGGGAGTTCAAGACTAGCCCGTACTACATACTACAACAAGACTGTTTCAAAACAACAACAACAACAAAAAGACACGGAAAAGGGGTGGGAGAGAAAAGAGAGCTTTCAACAAACTCTAGTGCCACAGAATAAAGTCCAAACTCCTTATCATGCAAAGCCCAGTCTACCTGGAATATGCCATATACTTTATTCATCTGTACCTTTACTCCCACTGCTTAAAATTTTGAAATTTCCATTGAATGACACTTTCCCTAATACATATCTAACCACTTGATCAGAATTAAGTGTTTTCCCCAATGGCCACATGGTACCTCTTGACACTGTCGTAGTGCTTGTCACACACAATCTTCCTCTGAGTTTGAATTTGGAGTCAAATGGCCTGGATTCAGACTTTGCCTCTGCCATTCAAGTACTATGTAAATTAGAGAATTCCTGATCTCTATGAGGCTCTCCTTCCTTATTAGTAAAAATGGGACACATCCCATCTGCCTAACAGAAATTGGTAGATAATGTACAAGGAAGTCTTTGTAAACAGTTGTATTTGTAACATGTTTACATTTTAAACTTGTAAAATACAGTTTCTATTCCACTAGAATATAAGGCTCTAGACAGAGAATAGGGATTTTAAAAAGAAAATCTTGTGTTTTAAAACTACTTACAGAAGAGTTGCAGAGGTACATATAGAGAATTCTCGTGAGCCCTTTACCTAATTCCCCCTACTGCTAACATCTTAAATAATCATGGTATATTTATCAAAGCTAAAATCATTGATATTGGTGTAATATAGAATATATTCTCATTTTTTATCAGTCTTTCAACTAATGTCTTTTTTCTGCTCTAGGATCTAATCCAGAATCCTACACTACATTTAACGGCTAATGGCTTTTAGTCTTCTCCAATCTATGCATCCCTCAGCTGTTCCTTATCTTTTATGAGTTTGACATTTTTGAAGAGCTCAGTTCAGGAATTCTGTAGCAGTAGAAAACCCTTTAAGGTGGATTTTCCTATTGTTTCCTTATGCTTATACTGAAGTTATAGATTTGGGGGATTACTACTACAGAGGTGATATGCTCTTTACATAGCCCACAAGAAGTATATCATTATAACTTATTATTGATAATAAGAAAGGAATTTTATGGAAAAAAACAAAATTTCATAACAAAATAATTAGATTGCATGTTATCTTTCAAGTTGCTCAAGGTATAAGATATGAACCTAAAATTTTTTCCAATCAATATTAGCACAATCTTTCCTTTTTAATGAGCTTATATCCAGTATCTAAAATAGATGGCCTATGATGGTAATCAATAAATCTCAGTGAATTCTTTACCTTTTCTGTCTCTTCCACTAAATCTTAAATTCATATACTGTAAGGTCCATACTGTATGCACTTTAATAATTTCTAGATGCCTAGTTAGTGCATATAGTTCCAGTAAATGTTTAAGGATTGAAGACCTGGGAATATGCTCAGTCGTAGAACCCATACTTAGCATGCAAGGGACCCTTGGCTCCATGTTCAAAAACAACAAACAAAAAGGTTTAGGAATTGAAAATTGGAGTCAAGATGTATTTTCATGAAAAACCAGGTATATTTAATATTCATTAGGAAACTAGTAACTGATTTTCAGCAGCTCAGTTAAATACCTTAAAACATTAAGTGCCTAAAATGAATACAGACTTCCCAGATGAGGAAATACAAACAATGAATAAGTACACAAAAAATGTTCAACATCACAGGTTATCTGAGAGATGCAAATTAAAACAATATCAAGATTCCATCTCATCCCAGAAACAATGGCTGTCATCAAGAAATCAACCAATAACAAATGCTGGTGAGACTGTGGAGAGAAACAAACCCTTCTCTATTGTTGATGGGAATGCAAACTGATACAACCACTATGGAAATTAGTATTGGGATCCCTCAAAACACTGAAAGTAGAAAGTCCATTCAAAGAAGCTATTTCCCTTGTAGGTATCTTCCCAAGAGTTAAAGACATTATACCACAGTGATGTATGCATATTCATATTAATAATAGAATAATTCATAATAGCTAAATTTTGGAAACAGCCTATGTATCTGTCAGCAGATGAATATACTTTTAAAACGTGGTATTTATATACCATGGAGCACTACTCTGCCACAAAGCAAGATGAACTTGAGACACTTATAGGAAAATGGATGCACTTTGAAACCATAATGTTAAGTAAAGTAACTCAGACACATAAGCTTAAATGTTTCCTTTTATTTAAAATTCAATGTATATAAAGTACAAAATAAAAAACAGATAATAAGAAAAGAGGTATTGTAATTCAGTACAGACAATGGAAAGTGTACTTTGACTTAATAAATTGTTTTACATGTCCTACACGTTACTTGGCCTGGTTTTACTCTGGTTTTCAATATTTATATGTGACAACTAACTTTAGAAGGTCTTAAGATAACAAAATGAATTTGATGCTGGAAAAATAAAAGGGAAGTGGAAGGAGTGAGAAAAAGGAGGGAATTGGTTGGGGATTTAGAACAGCAGCATAAGTGCCTGCCTGGCAAATGTGAAGTTGTGATCCCCAGTAGCTAGAGGGGTGGGAATTGAAATATGTTATGTACATGTACCAGTCCTCTACAGAGAATATAATTTTTATGTACTGCAAAAATCTACTAATCAGTGAAAAAATAAATCAAGCTTCTAACATGAAAAAAAAGAATTATTAAGTATTTGTAATGTACTGGCCTTTGTTAAGAACCAAATACCAGCACTTTAGTGGAAGAAAAAGAGGTGTGACGGAATGACTAACCTGCAAGGTAGTGAGGTTGGGGTCTGAGTCTGGATGGTACTGATTTGTTGATACCTCTCTATGAGAAATCAAAATAGGTAGTTTGGGGCAGAAGATAATTACACTTTGAACGCACTGAATTTGTCTCGAAGAAAATCCTATCATTTCTGAGAGTCAGTAGTAAATGGTGGGCACAGCATGGAGTGGCCCTAGGGACCTAGATATGAAGCCATGTTAAGTGTACTGCCAGCTGAAGTGCACAGAGATAAGACAAATCGAAATGTTAATAAGAAGCGGATGAGATTCAAGTAATTTCTGCAGGTCATTGGAACAATGAGTGGGAAATAAAATGATGGAGTGATTAACTGTTGTGCTTTCCTGTCACAAGGCTAATCATGAGCAGGGGATTGTGGGATACAATGGCTAAAAATGGTCTTCCATCAGTTCATTTTTTTGTTTTGGGAGGGTCAGGATTTTGCTATGGTCTGGCTAGTCTTGAAATGTTTCTAATTTATAAAATCTCACCTAGAGTACCACTTAAGTCTCTCAAGCCATTAAGTTTCCTTGTAAATATAATTGGTATACCATTTAATCGATTCTCCAAGCCCAGGAGCCCGCTTCATCACACATATCTTACATTGATACCTATTCCCAATGCTTCCTAGAGCGAACAGTCCCTGAACCAAGTGTAAATTGTAGCTAGTGAGAAATGCGAACAAGACTGAGCTCCTACCGCTCACCCACCACTATGCTGCACACTTTACCGCGCTTCACCCCCGGGAAGGGACCACGACTGCCGTTTCACAGAGGAGGACGCGAAAGGAATGAACAGAAATGAGTACAAAAGTCCCCAACTGACGGGTCTTAAGAGATTATTTTTTTTTCTCCATTCAAAAGCCTCGGGGCAACAAAACTCCAAATGCTAGGACAGGTGCCAGAACCAGTAACTCATTGTAAAGTGTAAGAAATGGAGAGGGAAAAAGAGAACTGCCCTGCGATGAGACGTCTGGCGCTTGAGAGCCCTTAATTTCCTCCGCCGCTCCGCAACAAAGCCAGTATCGCAGTGCGCCTGCGCTAACCCTGACTTCCGCTTCGCGAGGGCCTGGGCTGGGCGAGACTCCTACTGGGTGACTGTAGCGCGCGCAAGATGATGACGAAGACGGAAGTTCTCTTGCCAGAGGCGGTACCAGAGCCCGGAGGGGCTCGGAGTTGCGGAAGTTTTATGAGGAGGGTCGAACGGCTGGTGGAGTGCTGTGTTGTTTCGCGTTTTTCATTACGGAGGTGGTGGTTTGAGATCTGAAAGACAATAGTTTCCCGATTTTGCGACAGCAACCCTGGGAGCGACTCGACGTTGCTGCTGTTGGCTCTTCTCGCCCCTCGTTCGTCCCCAGGGAACCGTCTCGGATTTCCACCATGGCATCCACTGGGTCCAACCTCCAGGTATCACTTTACTTCTCCCGTCCCCCCTGGAAAGGCAGCCTAGGGGAGGCGGGGGAACTGGGGTGGGGGCGGGGAAGGGGAGGAAGCGGCCGCGCCCCTGGCCTGGCGGAGGAGGGCGGGGCTGGGGCCAAACTGCAGGTGGGGGAGTAGGTTCCTTTTCGCTGGAGAGGGGTCGCTTGGCCCAGTTACTGGCCGCTGCTGAGCCGCTGGCTTTGTGAGACCTTGACATGGGGGGGTCTTTAAAAACAACGCTCGAGCTCAAAAAGGATAGATATCTTTACTGTTTCGTTCAATTTTATTATAACTGATGATATAGGCAATTCTTTTTAAGATAACAAGAGCATTATGGTAACCATTGTTGATCACCTTGTGTTTTGTTTTTACATTATGTATTATGTCCATCCTTTTCTTTTGATTTGACTGACTGTCCTGGTATGTCACATTTGGTTTCACTTTCTTCAAAGAAAAAAAAGTAATAAGAACTGTGGGAGTAATAAAACCCAAAATGTGTAATTGTCATTGTACAAAAGAAAGGAAAAGAAAGTGCTTTAAAGGATATAACTGCATATATATTTAAGTGTGTAAGATAGATAACCATGTTACTGAGTTTGTTGGATCATTGAACAAAACTGTTTGCAGTCTCACTGTTTGAAAATCCCCTCTATATGCTTTAATTTTGTAACTTCAACAACTATTTCTAAGATGACAATATGTAATTAGTGATTTCCTGTTTATTGTTTCTGAAATTCTGTATAACTTGTACCCTTTTTCTGTTTTTTTTTCTTTTTTCTCAAATAAAATTTAAAAAAAAAAGGATAGATAGACTGCAGTCAGTATAAGGAAAAAGAAAAACCGTAATTTTTTTTTTTTTTTTTTTTGGTCTTTTTCCTTTTTATCGGTACCGGGGATCAAACTCAGGACTGCCTGCTTTCAAGGCAGGTGCTTTTGCCGCTGAGCTAAATCCCCAGCCCCCCAAAACCGTAATTTTTGCTTAACTCTAGGCCAGTTAAAATATAACCAAAATACATTGTACTTGAATTGGATTGTTGAGTGATTGTTTAGAGATTGATCAGTTAAGGATTGAGCAGTATTAAAGACATAAGCAGGAGGGATGTTACAATTTTATGGAATGGTCAGTTCAGGTTTGCTTTCTCACTTAACCATTTCAGCCTTCTAACCTAAGAAATTTGGATAAAGAATTATCATATAATGAGTAGCTTTTCCACTGAACAAAGCAAAATTCTCGGTAGCCAGATGCTTAAAATCTGGGAGAGTACAGATAACAAAAAGTTAGAATTATGAAATAATTTCATAAATGCTAAAGCAGAATTAGAGGTTAGTGTTTGGGCAGCAAGAAAGGGTGTATCTTATTTTTACATAAACAAGTGGGAAATGCTTCGTGAAGAAGGTGATATGGTTTAAGGTTGAACACTTAGCTACTCTTAAAGGTGAATGTTATTCTAGTTAGTATTAAGAACCTAAATTAATAGATTATGGTGTGACCAAAGGCATACAGTTAATTAGTGCTAGTAACTTTGAATCCTGTCTAGTTACATTTCTGTGGTTTTTGTCACCACAAAATTCTTCCTTCGTGAATAGAAAAGTTTAAAACAGTTTATGCCTCAGTCCAGAAGTATAATAAACCTTTGCAGAGAGTTGAGAAACATTTAAATATTATAGTATGAAATGAAACTCAAAGTTTACTCAGTCCTAAATATTGTGTCCTTTATTGTCATGTATTATAAGAAATTCTGAGAACTCATGTCTTGTGTCACATATAGGTGTGTGTATATCATTCATGACCTCAGATGGATTATGTTCTATGTTAAAACAGGCGTAAAGTGATCCTTGGAATTAATGTACAAGAGGAAGTGGAAATCTATAGGCAGTGTAGGTCTGAGCTATTCTCTGGGATGTTGAGGACTATGCAACAAGAGGACCAAGAACTGCACTGAGTCCCAAAGAAGCTGGAGTTTTACTGGGAGACAGTGGTGTAGGATCTTCAGGTGGCAAGTAATGTACATAGGCGTGCCACCTAGTGGTCTGGGTTGTGCCAGTACTGTGGTGCTATGGCAACATAGTGTGCAGATGGAAGCTGTATGGTGAGGAGCTGCATGTGTCACTCACAAATGATTAGTCATCATCTTACTGTACATGGGGAGTCTGAGGATTTTAAACCATAAAGTGCTCACTCTTTTTGGCTTAGAACCAAAGAAAACATTTGACTGGTAGCAAGTCTGGGTGTAGAGAGACTAGTTAGAACTCTAGGCCTTCATGTTGGGAAATGGTGACTGGCCAAATTAAGGTAAGTATGCATTTGAGTAAAAAAGGCCTGATCAGAGAAAAATTGGAAGAGAATATTAGGCTTTTACTTATAGCCACAATTAAAGAGCAAGGGAGGAGGGGAGTCTGGTTTTCCTCCCAGATTTCAGGATTGGATATTTGAGTGGGTGAGAATTAGTTCCCAAGATGCAAAAGGGGAAATTTGGGAAAGGAGCAAAATGAATTCAGTTCTGAACTTGTTTAATTTGAAATGCTCATGGAGACAGTCAAGCTAAAATGCCCAGTATGCATTGGAGTACAGACGAGTAGAATTGGTATGATAGACTGAGTTAGATATACAGACTTGAGCATTGTTAACATAAAGATAGTAAGAGAAATTGTGGACATAGGGTGATCCACCTTGGAGAGTTTACAGAATGAGTAAAAAGGATCAAAATGAAACCTTGTGGAGTATACTTTTGAGAAGAGAGAAAAGGAAACCTGAAAAAGAATCATTAGGAATAAGAATGATGTAGCGAATATCAAGAAATGAGACACTGTCAAGATATTTTGTTATTAGTGTGGCAGAGATAAGCTTAATACTTGGCAATCAGGAGGCAAGAAATCATTGCTGTGGGAAGGATAATTCAACAAACCAAGACAGAATAGTGATACTGTCTGGGAATTTGCTGTGGAGGTAAGATGAGTATGGTAGTAAGATGAGGAGTAAGATGAGTTGGTAAGATGGTATTTAGAATTCCAAAAACTTGAGAGAGTTGGTGTACTTTAATGTAGATTTTGTAGATATGAACCTGAGATAGGCTTATGCACATTTTTCTGCTTAGAAGGTCCCAACTAAAAAGGGAAAGGGAAGAAAAGCAGAGTGGCATGTCATTGATGGAAAGCAGGGGAAGCTCCAGAGCTCACACAAAGAACTATGCTGGGCAAACAAGGCTGGTCATCTGTTCAGCTGGGATGAGTACTTTCAGTTTGCTGCTTTCCAGGATTTTGTAGGGTGGATATTCTATGGTCTCCTAATCTGAAAAGGACAAACTCAAATGTTCCTAGCTTTTACACTTATATTTTGATACCTAGATTCTAACTGAGCCTAGAGTAATGTTAGTCTTCTCCCAGCCATTGTGCTGGAATTGTGTGCTGGAATTGTATGCAAATGTGAAGACAAGAGACTTAACCCTGTACACAGGGAGCTTACATGCTAAAGGGAAAGACAAAAAGAAATAAAACCCACTGCATACACACAAAGATAACAACATACGGATTTTAAATACAAGAGTGATGTGAGCAGCTGTTTTTTTTTTTTAAATGGAATACATTTAAAAGCAGCCTTAAACCATTAAAAGCATCTCATGTAGCAGGGAGTAAACAAAGAATGAGCCCCAGCCTGAACACAATCAGAATATATGGTACACAATCACAACACAGATACACAGGATATGTGGATCAGAATATATGGTAAATGTTTAATTTACAGTAAAAGTCACATTGCCACTAATCTCTACTAAAATACTCCCCTTTTCTGCACACACACTAGTCTCATCATTCTTGACACTTCTGGGGCTCCCTTCAGCAGCACATACACTAAAATTGACACTTTGTGAAGCAGTTGCGGGAGTCCTGTGTCTTCATGAGGTATGATAAAGAAATGTGAATTCTGCTGCCAAATGCCATCCAGTGACTACATATTAAGGACATAATGGTGTGTGCTCATCCGCCTTACTCCCTTCCATCTCTTGGCAACTTCTGGCTCTTCCTCAAAGTAAACACCACCATGAAAATAAACATTTTGAATTAATTGAGGGTATCAAAGCAGCCGTAACAGCAAAACTAAACAGTTACAACAAAGGGCTTCCAGCACTGTTGCAGAAAATGGCACGAACAATAAATGTGTTTGAAGTGAAGGGAGAAGAGTATGTCAAGAAGGATTAATGCAGTGCATTTTTTACTGTATATATTCTAAAATTTAAACATTCAGTGTTTTTTTCAATCACAACCCATAATTCAGTATCACATAGAAGAGGAAGAATCCAGTGAAGTAGAGAAGGAGCTACCAGAAAGATAAAAGGGAAATTAGGCGAGTCATCAGAGGACAGTGTCAATAAAAAGGAAATGATGGATTTTTAGAACATTGTCAAATGATCAAGATGAAGGCAGAGTTGGTCTTTGGATAAAGCGCCTTGATAGCAGTTGTATGGATGTGATAGAGAGACTGGTGGCCAATCCACTGTATATATGCCCTACAAGCAGAGAAACAGAACTGAACTGAGTGGTGTCTTGGTGTCAAAAAAGGCTTTTGAAGGTAAACTGTTTGTGTCTAATGGAAATATCCAATGGAGATGACAAAAATGGAGTAACCAAAAGGAGGATTTTAGGAGAGCAGTAGGGGATTTTTCAGTTATTGGGTAATGAGCACCGGTCATCTGCCAGCACCATTTGAGGATGGGGAGCTCCAGTCCTCACAAAGGTTACCGTAGAAAAAGAGCTGGCCTGGGGCTGGGGATTTAGCTCAGCGGCATAAGCGCCTGCCTTGTAAGCAGGCAGTCGTGAGTTCGATCCCTGGTACCGATAAAAAGGAAAAAGACAAAAAAAAAAAAAAAAAAAAAAAAGATTGAAAAGAGCTGGCCAGTGAGTGAAGAAACGTGTAAATACAATGATAATGGGGTGGGGGTGTAAGAGAGTTCTGGAGAAAGGGGAGATCAAAAAGCACAGATGGAACACTG